GTGCTTATTTAGCTTTTAAACACGTGTTGATCAACCTGAACATGTTCTTGTACACACTATTGAAGATAACATTCAAAGCCTTGGAGTTTCCAAGAGCTTCCACATCTTCAACACGAGTCCATTCAACTTTTGGTTTTAAGCTAGTAGTTCCATCTTCAGAAGTGAACACTGGATGTTTCCATCCTTTTATCACAACTTTCCATGCTTTGTTGCCCATGGATTTGAGAAAGACCACTATCATATCCTTCTAATAATCACAATTGGTTTCATCCAAGACTGGTGGTTTATTGACTAATCTTGCATCTTTTATTGTCTCCATTTGAGCAGAATTTATCTTCCCTGGATCTCATCCAATAGGCTAGGGTGTCTACTCTGATGCCAATTGAAATTGAGTTCCTAAGGGAGAATATGTTGAACAATGTCCTAGACAATTGGTTCGACAAGTTAAACTAGAATCACCAAAAATCATATAGATTAAGTTGTACAAGATGATGGAGAAGAAAAGAAATAAAGAACACAATAATTGGTAACCCAATTTGATACAAAGAAAACCTATGTCTAGAGGGATGACTTCCAACCTAAGAAAGGAAATTCATTATTAATATTTTAGTACAATTAGTCTTACAAGCAACAAGAAACCCTATGTTGTTCAATGGCCTCTTCCTAACAGCACCCAACGACTTTCTATTTAGAACTCTAAATATTAGAAACCCTCTCACTTTCTCTCAATCATTAAACCCTAGTGATTGGTGATTCACCCAATTATCAATGTTGAATATTATAACTCAACCAGACAGACCTTCTATTCTAAGTTACTGAAGCATAGATGTGTATATACAATAACAAGGACTATTACAAACCCTAGCACTATAAAATATTCAATGTGAATGCTTTCTTTCCAATGTAGGTTTAAGCTCCTTACATAGCATAATAGCTCTGGGCTTTTCTCCTTGGATTTTAGCTTTAATTTATTTTTAGAATTACTGCAGAATTTATTGGATATTATTTGTTCCACAAACCTCTCCAAAAATATATGATATTTAAATTCAAATTTAAATCTGAATCAATCTTCATCCAAGTGTAAAAAAAATCAATTAATCATATTGCTAAACCAATTAACAGTAAAATCTAATTAATATTTGACCAGAAAGTCTTCCAAAATCCAGTAGCTATAACTTGTTGTGCAAGACCTATATGTCGTACCAACATACTCTGATATTGTGTCTAACATGTTTCCCTTCTGCACCTCCATACAACTTAAGCAAGCTATATTAATCATGAACACTTTAAACACTTCTCCATGTTGTTGTTTTGCAAAATAGCCACTCCAAAAGGAACAACAAATATTTATGGATTAAATTTGAAAGCAGAATTCATGACAGCAGCATCATAATTTCTATCATGTGACATAGGAAGCATTCCATTTAACTTCTTAGGAGTGAGTGTGAGGGTTAATCCAAGAAGGCAGGAAGCTTAGAAGCTGGTTGTCAAAAAGTTGAGGAGAAGGTTAACATCATGGAAAAGTAGATAAATATCTATGGGTGGAAGAATAGTTATGCTCAATTTTGTAATGCCAAACATCCATATCTATCAATTTTATTTCTATAAAGCTCCAAAGTTAATTGTGAAGGAAATAACTAAGATTCAATGAAAGTTTTAGTGGGGTAAAACTACAGGTCAGAAGAAGATTAATTGGGTTAGTTGGAAAAACATTTGCTAAAGTAAACAAAAGGAGGTTTTGGCATAAAACATTGTGGAATCTTCAAATTAGCTCTTCTAAGCAAATGGATTTGAAAGGTTATATCAGAACCAAAACCAATTTGGATGGATATGTTAACCTTTAAGTATGAATATGTAAAGTCAAAGTTGCTAAATATTTTGGGACAAATAGTGGTGATGGGTTCTTTGAGCTATGGAGAGTGGGAGTGGAATCTAGTTGTCAGCCAAGCAAGGCTAGATGGAAAAGGAGCATCCCAAATGTCAATTCTAAGGAAAATTCTGATGAGGGTTTGTTTCACTGCTAACATGGAAGATCGGTTCGTTTGGTGGAAAGATAGGCATGGCTACATGGTTAAAATTAGTTATGTAGTGCTTTGTGGTCATATTAATAAGTAGGAGGATTCCAATCAGCTACCCAAGTAGACTTTAAATGCACTAGATAAGGTGTGGCGAACCAAGATTCCTAGTAACCTTCATTTTTTTACTGGACGTTGATTTTAAATCACTTACCAACCAAAGATCAGTTGCCTAGAAGAGGAAAAACAATAAAGAGCACAAGTAATTGGTAACCCAGTTCGTTGAAACCATAACTACATATAGGGGGAACTATACCAAAGAAAGGATATTCATTACTTCAAATTAGTAAAATTAGTCTTATAGGAGCATCAACCCCATGATGATCAATGTCTCTTCCTAATACTTGTGACTTTCTATTTATGATTCCTCATATATATGAGAACTCATCTCACTTTTTTTTCAATCACTAACCCCTAGTGATCAACTTCAATAACAATTCTATTGGTTGTTGAATTTACAACTCAAATAAGATAAACCAACAACTATACCAAATTACTGAAATATAAAGTGGTGTACACAAATAGATTCAATACTAATCCTTATGATAACATTAGCGTGGAATACAAGAAACAAGTACACTTTGTTCTCAAACTTATAGAATTAATAGCTTGGAACAAAGTTTTACAACTCAACAAGGAAATCAACTTCTATGCTTTAAGATATGAATGGAGACGCTAGAGTGTTGTACAATAATAACTCAAACAAAGACTCAAAAATAGAAAACCTAACACAAAAAGTCTTCAACACGTGCGCACCTCAAATGCGAGGTTTGAGTATGCTTAAATAGCAATGCAATTCTGAGTTTTTCTCCTTTGAATTTCTGGTTTAATTTCGTCTAGAATAATATCAGATATTGTTGGATTTGATTCGCTCCATAAAAATCTCCAACAAAAGATATGATTTGCTTATTAATTCAAATTCAAATTTAAATCTTCATTTAAATTGATTTGATCTCAACAACTGTCAAACAAATCATACAAATGCATTGCTAAAATATAGCAACAAATATGACTGAATCTCAACCAAAAATTTTCTCAAAAAACACAACAAAATTGACCTGCTGAACTTGGGTCAAATATTGTACACATCCTGGAACATGGTGTTCCATAGGTGTCCCTTCTTCACCAAAACTGGAAAAACATTGGTCTGTTGACAAAGACCAGATGTTGGAGCACACATGCTGGAACATCGTGTTCTACATGTTGCACCAGAACATCTAAAATGACTCTTTTCAAATTCTTTGTAAAGTAAATCTTGCCTCAATCTTCCTTCAAAGTAAATTCAATCAAATCTTCTTTGACTGAATCAAACTCAAATCTTTTAATTAAATCATATTCTCCATATTCATGATTTAATAAAATCTTTTCCAACTTGATATGGATTAACAACACAAACTTGTTCAAAAACAAACTTCTGCATCTTTTGAAAAAATTAACACCACACCAAATCAGAAGGTATTCTGAAGATAATCAAAACGAAATCCTTACGCCAATATGCCACACAACATATGTTAAGCATCTTGCTTACAACTAATTGACAACATCTTAGACTAAACATATCTTATTAGAAACAACGCAATCACGCTTAGATTTTCTCATGAAATCTAGCTAACAAATAGAGGCCAGATGCTAGAACACATGCTGGAATATTGTATTCCACATGTTGCCTCTACACTAAAATACATCATGTATATATAATATTATTTTACCTAATACAACCAATCACATAGAATAACGTTTCTGGATAAAAGTTTAAGAAGTCATAGGTTGCACAATAGTAGAGGATCACTTCCATACTTTTTCGAGTATATTAAAGAAAAATTCACTGATAAATTTTTGTATTTTTTTTAGTAAAGCTTGTTGGTTATTGTGGAAATGCAGAAATACTATTCTTTTCCAGGGAGATTTGTTGGCCAAATGAAATATTTTGGGAGAATCAAGAGCTTAACTTAGACCAGCACTAAGTTAAATTTAAAAGTCCGAGAGAATGAATTGGAAGGCAGATTCAACTAAATATTTATCTTGCAAATTTTGTAATTGCTGTTTTAATTTTTTTTCTTTGTTAACCATCTTTATCTTAAGGGTTGAGTAACTTTTGTATTTTTATATTTTTCATACTGCAAGTTTTGCTTATAGAAAAAAATAATACTGAAAAAAACTTGTCTTATAAATACAACTTATTCTAGTAACATATTAAAGTCTAAAACTATTGCAAATGTAATGATTACACAAATTTGTTTCTTAACCAATGTCTTAAAAGATAACTTTTCACCATTCTCCAAAAAAATAATTGCTTCTGCTTAAAATCCCTCTTGACGGCATACACAAAGGTCAAACTCTCCCTCCTTTCTCACCCAACTTTAACTTCCATCATGTCGACCCACCCCCAAGATTCCTACATCGTCATACATATATTTCATCATCTTTTTCTTCTTGCATCATCTTACTATATACTAACATACATGTATTTCAGTATAAAAATCAAATATATATCATTCTGGTATTATTTAACTCTCATCAATTAATCTAAATGACATGATTTAATTCTTAATTTCTTTTAATTATCAATAGCCATATATATTATGATAGAAAGATAAATTCTATTTTTCTTTTGAAAAATAAACTTGGAAAATAACATATATATATATATATATATATATATATATATATATATATATATATATATATATATATATATATATATATATATATATATATATATATATATATATATATATTAAAAAAAGTGCCACATGCACCAAAGAATTTTGTTGAGCTATATATGCCTTTGTTTGGGATAGTTTGCATCTTTAGAGCTGGCCACCAAACTCCACTAATTACATAATTGTAGTTCATCCATATTCTCTTCCCTTATTTATTTTTTCTTTCTCATATACAAAAATAAATATTAAACCTTCAAATCCAATGAGTTCCTTAAGCAAAGCTCCTACTAATAATTCAACTGAGGAAAGTGGTTGGACTTCATATTTTGATGACTTCTTCAACAACAATGATGATGATGATAATCTTAACAACATCAACCACAAGTGTTCTAACTCTCTGTCTTTATCTACCTCTTCTTCCCTTCTCTCAGATGCAACTTCTTTGGTTGGCAAAAATGCATTATTCGATCAAAATGTTGAGAAGGAGGTTTCTTCCAATAAAAATGGTGAGATGGGTTCAAGTTTCAAGAAGAGAAAGAATATTGTTGATCAAGCTTTGGAAGATACCGCAACCTCTCCTCTCAATACTCCCAAGGTTTTTATTTCCTCTATTCTCTTCATGATTTTCATTTTCCCTACCTACAATATTATTTTATTTTTTTAATTAATTTTTTAATAGAAAAATGAAATTATAAGGAGTATTTCATCAACAGATATATACTCATAAATAAAGTATATATATACATAAACATGAAAATGCGTTGAGCAAGCTTCACATTGAGCATTCATAAAATAAGTTGGCTAACTACAATATTAGAACTAGTTCAAAATTTTAAAGAAAAAATATTCATTAATTTTTTTTATATTTAAGAAATGATTTTGGCAATTAATAATTGAGATATTAATTTTTTGATATTTTTAAAATTATCAAAAACTATTCTATGTTTGTTTACCATTCATAAAAATATATTTTTTAATTAAAATAATCTATCTTAAATGATTTATAAGAGAAACTAAAAAGCTTCTCAATGTAAAAAAAAAATAAAAATTTAGGTTAATATAAATAATTTTTAGATTATCATTTTTCAAAAAAAAAAACAGAAACAAGCAAATTAAAAAACTCCTGAAAGTGATTATTAAAAAAAATATTAAAAGGGTAGCTTCTAACAAATTTGTCAAAACATGGCTCTATAATTCATCCATGATAACTCACACATATATAAATTCACAAAAATACCTATATAAGTAATAACATAATATAAGGTTTCCAAGTGCATAAGAATTACATAAAAGCTATACTTTAAATACATTATGCATTTATTTTCCTATTTTCTTATAATAACCTTTTGTCCTTCCCAGTGGCATACATATATAGTAGTTTCACATGCAAATTTGATTGTTATATGATTTATTTATGAATTTTTTTTAACAAGTGAATATTGTTATTCTGTAACTTTATGTGTAGGAAAAGAGAAAGGCAATAGTTGAGGACAAAAAGAATTGAGTTAAAATGAGAAGGATAGTGACTGCACAGAAGTAAAGAAGAGAGGTCTTAATTTGTATAGTTCATTTGTGAATATATGGTAGGAAATCATCTAACTAGGTTGAGTAGCTTTTTTGTTAAACGTATATATACAATTTCCAAAAGGATCCAATTCTAGACATTTTAGTCCCATGAGTATCTGTTGCCCCATGTCATGTCAAGGACCAGCTATCCTCAAAAACTTAAAAAGTTTATATTCATTTTTTATATCAATGTTTTAATTATTTAAATGGACCTGGATTCTCTACAATATAGCTTTCAATATTTTTCTTTTTTTCTCAATATTTGTCTCCTCTCACATTTCATATCATGTAACTAATGAAGGGAGGGAGGGAGTAACGAAAACATATGAATTGAAGTTTTGTTGTTTGTTTCTGATTTAGACTTATCCACCATTGCAGTGCATATACTATATAGCTTTACAAAAATAGTACTACTGATCATGTGTGTATATAGATAGGACAAACTGTGCTGGAAAGCACACAAGAGGCAAATATACAATAAATAGAAAGGTGGGTGTGAGGAGTAGGATGAATATACTATACATATATTAAGCTTAGACTATCATTTGACTCTGACTAGAGAATTCAGATGAACAATCAGCATATTCTGATTGCATACAACATATTGATTAAAGCTGCAAAAGGGTTTTTTTTTTCTCAATTCAATACTAAATTTAATGCATATCATATCTTCTTCTTTGTAGGAAAGAGCAGTTTAGTTCTGTGGAATGGTAAACTCCCTCCAAAATAATCAAAAAGCAAACTGTTCTACTTTTTTTATTGGACAGTTTGCTTTATAGTTTATATAATTTCAATACAAAATAGATTATATGATCATTTTTATTACCCCCGCCATTGAAATATATTACAAAATTATTTTCTTACCTGGTAATACTTTATATACTTTAATAAAAATAAAAATAAAAATTAAATAAAATAAATAACAAATAAATTGAAATACTTTACAAAGTTAAAAAAACAATTTAAGTCGTCCCCGGTCGTTGTCATGTAGGTGATAGTCGGTTCTACATCGACGAGATATTACTTGTCGCAGCTCTCTATGAGATTCTTTTTTGTCTTTTGCAGTGTCTGGTGGCTGGGAAGAACTCTCTCCTTTATTGAAAGTACTTTCCAAGTTATTTGATCCTAAATATTTTGTATGTCAATTGATCAACATTTTGTATGTCAATTGATCTAGAAGCGTTGTGTGCATAATCTTTATAAACTCTTCGCTTTCAAAATCTAATTTGCTGCTTGACATGAATTGGTATTTAGTTGTGTTGTTGGCTAGTTTGACGTTTTAATGGTGGGGTAGTAGAAGTTTGTTTGTGGGGATGAAATTGTTGTTGTTCGATAGTTGCAGTTAGGTGATGGAGTAAGGGTGAATGGTTGTGGTGGATAAAATGGAATTTGTTGGTGATGTGTTGGAAAGTTGTAATTGGATTGAAGTGTTGACTGCATATGTGAGTATGGATTAAGGGGTTTTATATGATGGTTGTTGTGGAAATTGGAGTTAAACTATTGTTGTTGATGGATGTGTTAAATAACTGGCCCCAAACACAGTAGAGGTGAATTGTGGTATTCAAAAACTGTGATTAAATTAAAGATGATTATTTTCGCGACGCGAAAAATGCATGGAGCGCTCGCACGTTCGAGATGATAACAGAGTTGCCATCAAACTTTATTCATTCTAAGATGAAAGGGAAAATATCAATAAAACCCTTAAAATAAAAAGGAAATGGTCGTCGCAACCAAATTCAGATTTGAGAGTCAATTATGCAAGGAGAAGGTATTAGCACCTCTCACATATGTTGTACTCAACGGGAACCATTTAGTTAGATTTGTGAATAGATGTTAGCTTTCGTTGTTTGTTTTCTTTTGATTATCGAAATGTTGGAATGGAAAAGAAAATGGTCAAAAAAAGGTTTTATTAAAAGGCTTGACAAGATTGCATGTCTTTCTCCTACGTATCCTCAGATGCGATGAGAAATTCAAAGCTATGTATTTGTTACTAGAAAACCATGTATTTTTTTTTGTTAATTTTAATGAACGAATATTTATATCGCATTCTAGCAGTTAAATGTTGCTTGTATGCTCGCAATTGAAGGGTTAAGCGTTTGTTTGTGAAAATGTTTTTGATCACACAGGGGCGAGAAAAGATAAGTTTGACATGTTGAATTGTTTTTAGGAGGATGATGAACGTTGATGTTCTAGATTGGGCCAAAGGCTAGACCACCACCGGGCACTGCCCAACCCAACTCCTCGTCGGGGAGGGCCCAGTACGGCCCAATACCTCAACCCACACGGGAAGCGCACACGCGTCTTCCCCACGCATTCCACGTGCTCCCCACGCGGGGACACGTCATCAGGCAACTACCCGCATCCAAAAAAAAATAGGTCACCCACCTTCCGAAGATCATGAGGCAGTTGACCCAAGACGAAGACCACGTATTGGTCTTCCCTACGCCACGTAGATCCTGACAGTTATCCGTATTAGGCCTGAAGATCCAACCCAGTATATATAATCGTTGGCCAAGTGCTGAGGTCACATTATAAATACTCTCTTGCACAAGAGGGTCAGATATTCTAAACTCAATTGCTTTTGAACTTGCTCATTCTCTCCCTTTTTTTACTTTGGCATCGAATTGTCTTACTGGTACACCCCTTCCTCTTCTCCACCACCGGTGATTTAGGAGCTCACGACGTGTGCGCACGCTGCTAATCTCTTTCTGATCCGGTAAGATCAGTGGCGCCGTCTGTGGAAACCCTTTGCTTCCCCATCTTTTCTCCTTAGAAACCAAAGAACCAAAGCATATCTCAACTTTCATTGATCATGGTCAGCTCACGCGCTGATGATAACCTCCATGAATATGCTTTCACCACTTTCACCAACGGTGACGACGATGATCCCGACATGGTTGTCCTCGTTGAAGAGGGTGACCCCAGGGCACATCACCTCCCCCTCCTCCAACGATACGGCTGACAACACCGTCTAACGATTCGACATTCCTGTTGTTTTCCAACCCATTCATGTGCCGCCCAACGCCAACCCGACCATGGTGGCCTTGTTCGCGACGATCAACCAGACGAACCTAATGATGTTCCAACATAACAAATGGATCAGGATGCTGGAAAAGGTGCAACAATCAAGCTCTCCTCCGCAGATACATAGGCGCCCAAATTCTCACAGCCCATCCCCTAGACAGCGAGAAACACGTCCCTTTTCTCCCCCACAGAGACATCAACGGGGACGAATCTCGAAGCCCCTTGCTGCAACAACATGGACGTCACCCATGATTAGAAACGCATCAGCCTATAGTAACCCAGAAGCACGACCGCAACCCCCTAGAAGGAGCGACACTCCCCGGCTCCTAAGAGAAGCAAAGCTGACGGGCAGATGGGGAAACTGAAGAGTGGACCGAAGAGCCCTCCCCGCCGCGGCAGGAGCCCTCAATACAACCATTCCTCATCACAATCACCCATCAGAAGCGAAGAGGACAACTCCCGCACTTCGTTGTTCAAGGCCATCATGGAGACTTGCCTCCCAGTCGGGATGGAGAAACCACTGATTCTGGCGACGTAGGATGGCACGACGAACCAGACGACAACATTAAGAGCATCGATGAAATTCCCGACTACCGCAATGTCTCGGGAGCCATAAAATGCAGACTCTTCCCGATGACCCCGAGGAAGGGCGCGATGGCATGGTACAAGAGCCTTGGACCTGAATCCATCACCTCTTGGAAAGAGCTGAAGAGACAGTTCTCTAGGCATGTCATCATCTCTCGGCGACATCCGAAGACGAAGGCATCCCTGAAGGTTATCATTCAGAGGAAGGATGAATATCTCTGGGACTACATAGAGAGATTCAATTGAGGTTGTCCAGGTATCCACGACAGACGGCATGAAGAGATACCTGATCGAGCGAGAGCTGCGAACCTACAACAATTTTGCCAAGGCGGCTGGTATCGAAAGGTCTAACACGCTGGACGAACTCCTCCATAAGGCCCATGCCTACATCCAATATGAGTTGCGAACCTACCCCTAGGTCTTTACCTTAGAACATTTCCTTTAGCAAGCAAACTTTAGCATAACACAAATACTAACGAGAGGTTCCTGTAGAGTACTACAGATACTTAGGATGCCAACACCTTCCTTAGGTATAACCAACCCCCGAACCTTAGATCTCTAGCTATGTTGTTACGTAGCGCACTTAGGGTTTTCTTCGATCTTTACCCTTTCCTTTGGATAAATCAAAGCTCGGTGGTGAACTTCATGATTTGTGATTCAAGTTAATTAATAGCTTGACATCCGATTCTCACTGCAACAGAAATCTGTTAGCCTAGGGAAGGTGTTAGCATCCTAAGTATCTGTAGTACTCTACAGGAACCTCTTGTTAGTATTTATGTTATGTTAAAGTTTGTTTGCTAAGGGAACTGTGCTAAGGTAAAGACCTAAAGGTATATACACTAAGTATGGTCGCCAAGACGTCGCATCTCGTGCCTACGTATCCTTACAAGGATGGAATCAGAGCAACCGTAGTTCTCCTAACTAAGGTTTGAGGAACCCTTGATAACAATCAAGGTTCCAAAGGGGAGTAAGTATCCATAACCATGGTACTTACATGGAGTTAACGAACTCCCTAAGTCTAAGTTGAAAACTAACTAAAGATTGACTTTAACGAAAGTCAAAAGGGGAAAGTGAGTAATCATAACGATGATGCTCACGTAGAGTTTACAAACTCTAAACCTAATTCTAAGTTACAAGACCAATTGGTTCTAACGAGACCAAGAGGAGGAAGATAAGTGTTAGTTGTTAGTTGTTAGTGGTTAGAGGGCTCGACAAGATATCGCATCTTGTGCCTACGTATCCTGACTAGGAAAGGGGAATCAGAGTTCAATCTAGGAACGAGCTAGAAAGAAACGGTCAAACAAGACCACAACCATTGAGGATTGAACT